TTTGAGTCCCCGCAGTGATCCGCGCCGGTCCATCGCAGCGCCCCACCGGCCCCCCGTTCGTTACGGTGCGAGAATGTGCGACAGGTGGGTGCGTTGGCCAAACATGTGAGGTGCCGCGACTCGCCGGATCATGGTGCTGGAGCTTGGGAGGAGGAAGAGGAGGGCCGGCGTCCTGTCGAGGCGTCGTCCCCCGCTGTCGAGGAGAACGGCACCCCGAGGCGACATGGCCCCGGATGCCGCAGTTGAAGCACCGCGGGAGCGCCGATGGAGACGATGGACGGTCGAAACGCCTCGACCCGTCCCGACCCGGCCGCGCCCCCGTCGTCTGTTGCCGTCGATGGTCGACGGCATAAAGCTCTTCTGACGGAAGGGTGGCTGCAGCCACCGCACGCCCAGCCGATGCCCTGTTTGCCTTTCGCCGCTGCTGCAGAAGGTTGGCGTGGAGGAGTCGCGCAGCCTGGAGGGAGGTCATTTCTGCATCCCCTTGTGTGATGACGACGATGTCGAGGTCGTCCGCCAAGAGGAGGATCTTCTCCGCGACCATTGCGTCCACGCCGTCGTCGTCCATGCGGGGAAAGGCTGTTTTTGCCAGCGCCAGAAGACTTGTCCGGAAAGCCAGAGGCGACTCTTTTTCACCCCGCCTGCGATCGTAGAACTGCTGACGGCATTCGGCTGAAGGTCCATAGACCCCGGCCAGCAGCTGTAGCGCCATTGGTAGTGTAGCCCGCTTCTCTTTTGGTGCCGACGTGAGTGCGGCGAGCGCGTCCCCATCGAGGAGCGCCGGCAGCGCGCAAAGGGCCTCCTCGTCGGACCACCGCGCCATCTCCTGATGGGCGAGGAAGCGTCGCCGAAAGCCGCCCCAGTCCCCCTCCGCACCGATGAATTCTTTCAGCGGGGGCAGTCTTTGGTGAAGCGCAGCGGTCGATGTGGACTCCCGCAGGTTGCTTTCACCTCCCTTTGGCGGTGCCTCGGCGCGACTGGCCGATGGCATCGCCTGTCGCGGCAGCGATGACGCATCCTTCGGCTGCGATGACGCTGCAGCCCCGGCGACGGCGATGTCGGAGCCGATGTCTAAGCTGGCCACGCCCCGAACAGCCGCGGCGTCCATGGCGGGAAATTCAAATTTTGAAGTCGCTGAAATGGCGGGAAAGTGCTCCGGCCGCCGGTTCTCCTCGCCCTGCGGTGGACCACCAACCCCCAACCGCGTAATGCCTTCCAGTGTGGCGGCAGCGGCATAAAGTAGCTCCGCCAGCCGTTCGTGAGCCAGTCGTAGTGCATCTGGCTGCGGCCCCTCTCCATGCTGACGTCCCGGTGAGAAGGCGCCAGGCTCCGGCTGCACCCCATCTTGTTGCTCTGTCTCGGGCTCGGCGATCTCCGCGGCGTCCTCCTCCCGTGGTACCCTGGTCCGAGCTGTATGGCGCGTTTCCATTTTTACCACTTCTGACGCCAGATGAAGTGCCCGTCGAGGACGCTTGACAACGGAGTTGAGGCACACGTATATTTATTTAACAAGTTGCCAGTACAGGACAGCACTAGAGGGGGTAGCGGCCCCCTCACCCGTATAACTCAGGGAATACCCCTAGCTATCCATAGCCTATCCCCTGAGTCCTCCACTAAGAGCTAGGGGAGGCTGTCTGGCCCGACACTGGTAATCGGGCTCGGTACCCGGAGTCCCAGAGCACTGGCTCTGGTTCGCGGGACCACGCCACTGGCTCGAGCCTGATCCCGTGGGGCCCTGATAAGGGCGGCGATCAGGGGGAGTCCAGGGCTCTAGCTACGACGTCTTCCGACTTCTTAGCTTAACTATAACATAACTAACTAAGCCCATATAACGACCCCTTTTTATACCCAACCCTCCTTGAGGGGTGGGGCCCCGGGGGATCGTAACGCCGAACCAGCCCCCCCCCAGGGTGTCTGGCTCGGACGTCGCAGAGGGCATCTCCCTGTGCACACACGTAGCCCCGCCCACTGTGTTTCTTTCCCATAGGCTGCCATGCATAACGGCCCTCTCTCCAACATCCCTACATTTGCATTAACCACAATATTTGTGGTCAGAATCCAAACAAAAAAACATTCTCTGATAATATATGCATTGTCTTTGAAACAGATTGGTCATTTACATTTACTGCCATGACCCTGCTTAAATGCGAAAAAGTTTATATGATAGGATATCATACCCCAATCACTTATGGGAAAAGTCGCAGAATCACAAATGATAGCGTTTTCGCTCTCCTACAGCTGCGGTAGAATATAAGAGTCGCGGATAAATTGGACCGGCGGATAATAGGCGCTCTCTAATATACACACAATGTATGTAATTCCATTCCATTTGAGAGGTATATTTCATTCACATTTGCTCATTTACTTTTGTCATTTAAAAAAATGTGGAACATTGACATATACAGTATTTGAAAGTAACACACGGGGCTCTATATAATGTCTAATTTTCAACTTAAATTACATCCTGTAAACGTTATGGAACGATATTTGATCTACTGAAACTTTTTAAACGAGGACCAATATGGTAAGCAAGCCCGATGTATATATTACACCGTTCATTAGAGGAAGTGAAAACTAAAAAATACCAATTTTTTTAACAATGCAATAGAGTGTAGCTAATCGCCTTTTGAACCGTGACAAAAAGAAATCAGTCATAAAATAGTAGCTCTTTTATTACAATGTATGCAACTGTGATGACAGTTGCATATATTTACGACACTTGGTTATGGTGTGTACCAAGGCAACGTATAACTGAATACGATCACATAAAGTCATAAATTGTACGACCAATGGCGTGTTCAAGCAGAAACCAGTTCTTCCACACATAAAGCGAATGAGCAACAGGCGCTTGGGTGGAGTCGCCCAACCTTTGTGCTGCCATTACAACTGGCTTCCTACACTAGACGATTATAAAATCACTAGGCGATTATAAAATCACTACTGTTGCCCATTGTTCTAATTCAAAGTGGCGTTAACGACAAACAGCGTACACGTTTTTTTATATGGACTCTTGAGTCATTGCTGATTTTATATGATGATGGCTGGTTCATGTAACAAACGTATCTGTGTATTATAAAAATACAAAACGTTTCAAGGAATGAAGCCATCCCAAAGAATTGCGCAAACATTGTTGACACGTTAGTATTCACTGATAATCTTGCAGTGAGTTTGATCAAACTCACTACCTGTCCTTTATTGCAACAGTTTTTAGTTTCGGGTAGTGTGACTTTTGCTATTTGAACTCAGATGGGGGATATGATAACGTTTGGGTTCAATCCCCACCCTGACGCCTGCATATTTGGAGTTTGCATGTTCTCCCCGTGGTCGCGTAGATTCTTCTCCGGGTCCTCTTGGTTTTTTTTCCACCACATTTGGAATCAACATGCATTTAGAATATTTGGCTGCTATACATTTCCACACAATCAACTTTGAGCTATCATTTGTAGCCAGGTTGCTTATATGAAAAATGCATATATAGCTCAGTGAGCTTTACCTGGTAAACTAAAAAGTTTAGGCTTCGTTTTAGTATTGATTAAATGCCCTTCTTCCATAAAAGATTAAGTGTGCTATGGAAGAATGGTCATTGCCTAAAATGTCAACGATTATATATTTTATAATTTTAAGGCAATATTGTTGACGAGTTTTTGTTTGTTTAATGTGGATGTGCACCACTGCCAAATGGAGCATCACCAAGTAACATGTAGGATTAAAAGCACAGTTATTTATTCAATTCACGGTACTTATTAATGAGTTTTTGCAATGACCTTTAAAAAATACATAACTCAATAAATAGTCATTAGTGTCATTATGGAGAATATAAATAACAAATTAGATAAGCAAGACAATATGTATAAGCAAGACAATATGTATATATACAAAACCTAAAGGCTTTCTGAGATTGAATGATTTCAGCAGCATTATTTTTATCTAGCGAATGTTTTTACACAAAGCACCAGATACCCAAGTAAAATTAATAATACAATTTCTATATATCGATGTCAATGTTACATGAGTGAACGTCAGCCCACGTAGCCACAGTATTGATTCAGCACCAGTAACACTGTGGACCAGTCCCAACAGAGAGATCCCACTGGGAGAGCCAGCCCTGCCTGAACTGACACTGGCTAACTTTCTAACATGCTGTAAGTAAGGACCCTTCTTTAGGTTATGTCCGAGTTCAAATTACGCAAAATTTACAAAATACAAACTCAAAAATAAGAATGATCATCGTTATATATAATAACAAAATAGATAAGCATACAATATATCTGAGAGACACTTTAAAGAATAATAAACAAGGGTTGTGGTGAACCCAGTTTTAAGCAAATGCTTTGAGGCCATTAGCATGTGAATGCCACCGCGATTCCTACTGGTCGTATAAACTATGCATCTTTTCTGGTTGCTTAAACATCACTCTTTGTGCAATCACTCTCAGTTATTCTATTTGTCGTTAGTTATCATTGAAAATATAAGCTATCCGAAGACACTGCGTACATTTACTCATTGGTAAATATGACAACAAATACCATGAAGAGATACAGTTGCCTCTTTTGAATTTAACAAATGTGAACAATGACCATGCAACAAAAGTGTTTTACTTCAAAGTCGTATGCAGTTGTCAAATAGCACAACCTACTAAACAAGTCACATAATTCAGAGGAGATCAAGATGTCATCATGACCAAAGCCATTTATGCCCTGCACCTTGCCAATGCGTTGTACCTTCTACCAGATCCCACATCTGCTGCATATTAAACATGTGCTCCCGAACATCCGAGGAGACCCATATGAAATCTGTACTGTATACGTATTGTCCATACTAATTATTTAAAGCCAAAGTATTATTGATGAATTTGCGTTTTGTGCTCATGCACCGCTGCCAACACAATGCCATGAAATACTCACATCCAGGTGTAAACACTATGGAGAGGTGGCAGTGCTATTTAAATCCAATGTTGTGTTCACAGCTAATTTACACTCATTTTTACCCTTTTGTCACAGATATAAATGAATGCCTCACAAGCCCATGCAAGCACGGGAGCAGCTGTAATAACAACCCGGGGTCATTCACCTGTGAATGTTTAACAGGCTGGACTGGACTCCTCTGCTCAGAAAGTATGTTGTCGCTCGGAATGTGTTGGTCGGTATATCATGATAACAAAATTTCAAGTTGATGAAATTTGCTCTTTAAGGTATTCCATAAACCTGGTGTGCAAAAACCATATCTGAAAAGGCCAAATGTTGTGATTATCAGTTTCTGATTCATATTCTTTGGTTCTTTCGGTAAAGTTTTATTTCCACTGCTGTGGAATTGAACAAATGCTTAAAATGAAGTTGCTCCCAATATACTATATAAAAAATTGTGTATATCAAATTTTAGATCTAAATACAGTTGTTCTATAACACTAAATGTGTATACTTATATGTTTATCATACACGTATGTACTAAGTGAATTGGTATAATGCACAGAAATGTACTACACATGTATATGTGAAGTGTTGTTGAAGACGCGTGGACAACGGGGTAAGGCACACGTATTTATTTATACAAAGGGCTTACAGTACTAGAGGGATGTATCGGCCCCCTCACCCGTACAACTGGGAATTCACCCCTAGCTAGCCTTCCTAGCTGAGTCCTCCGCTAACGGGCTAGGGGAGGCTGTCTGGCCCGACACTGGTTAGTCGGGCTACGGTACCCGGAATCCCAGAGGTCTGACTCTGGTTCCGGGACCACGCCACTGGCTCCAGCCTGCACTGCCCTTACAAGGGCGGCGTCCCAGGGGGAGTCCAGGGCCTATCTGGCTGGTCTTCTCTCTTCTCTTAACTACTCTAAGACTGAGCCCCGAGCTCTCTGGCTCAACCCTTTTTATACCCCGTTAGAGGATCGAAACCCCCCTCACGCCGTCCAGTACGGACGTCGTTGCGGGCACAACCCCGTGTGCTCACGGAGACCCCGCCCACTGTGTCTGTTTTCCATTTGCCCCTATGTAAACAGCCCTACACAAACAGACCCTCTGTAACAGCCCTACATCACCCCCCCCTGTACAGCTCGCAGCCGTCCCGGCTGCAACAACTTTCAATAAAGGTTATTCAACCCCTGGATCCCCGCGTGTGCCTTAAAAAAACGTTTTTAACGCTAACTTGAAGGAACCAACAGTAACAACAACAACAACGACAATGACAACAACAAAACCCTCAACCCCGAAAGGGAACAATCCGACGCACCCCCCCCCGAATAAATACGGATACCGTAAGAACGCTATATACAATTTGTAGCGAAGCCACAATGCACACCAATGGGCAGGGGACACCCCCCCCCACACAACACACAATGAACACAACATATATATACAAATCTTGCGGTTCCTCAACAGTCTGCGCATTTTTGCGCGTGTCCTTGCGGTTTCACAACAGTTTGCGCATTTTTGCGCGTGTCCTTGCGGCGGGCCCCTCACACGGGGGAACCCCGGGTGGCGGACCGTCAGGTGGCAATCGTCCGTCCGGGAGCGGGGCCTCCTCTGATGCCTCGTGACTGTTGGTATCCCCAGAAGGGGTGGTCGGGCGTGAGCCCGTCAGTCTCGATGCACCTGGAGGTGGCACGGCCGGCAAGGCATTAGGTGAGCGCGGTGGGGACGGACCTAGTGAGTCGGTCGACCCCCCACACGTCTGGCCACGCATGTGTGAAGTGGGTTTGTGTGCCGCGACGAAAGGTTTCAACCGAGAGGGGTGCACGAACCATCGCCGCTTCCCCCAACGAATGCGCACGCACTGTGGTCGCAGGACCTCGACCACTTCCACAGGCCCCCGCCACGGTCGCGCCAGCTTTGGGGAGGTAGCCAGGGGTACTTGGGGACAGTGCAACCATGCCCTGTCCCCCGGTTTCCACTGTATGACATGCGCTCGACCCAACCTGAGGCGCTCGTTCGCCTTTTGACGGAGGTCCGAGTTTAACCTCGCAGCATCCCGTGCCTCTGTTAACTTAGCCAAATTAAATTTGACGTGGTCAGCCAATTTTGTTTTACCTTGCTGGTCGGGGATCTGCAGCTGGGCGCGAACAGGCGGGTCGGGTTCGCGACCGTACATAAGGTAAAAGGGGGAAAACCCCGTAGCTGCATGGGGTGCCATCCGATATGCCGCCAAGACCCCCTGAATATGCAGGTCCCAATCAGTCTGGGAATCTGAGACCTGCTGTGCCATCATTGACGAAATGGTGCGATGCAGGCGCTCGACCATTCCGTCAGTCTGTGGGTGATACGGGGAGGTCCGAATTTTCTTTGTGCCTAAGAGGTCACAGACTTGTTTAAGTAATTTGCTGGAAAAATTTTTACCCTGGTCGGTCAGCAGCCGTTCCGGGGCACCTTTGTCCAGGACGTAACCCTGAACAAAGGCGTCCACGATGGCTGCTGCCGACTGGTTGGCAAGGGGCCAGGCCATGGGCCAGCGCGTAAAATACTCGACACCTGTCAGCAAATACTTATTGCCCCTGGGGGTGGCGGGAAATGGGCCCAAGATGTCCAGTGCAACCAGCTCATTTATTCTGGACACCTTGATCGATTGTAAAGGCGGGTTAGACTCCCGCGCCGGCGATTTCCGCTGCGCACACCGCGGGCATGAACTCAGAAGATCCCCCACATCCTTTGTCATACCAGGCCAAAAAAAATCTAGCTGTATTAGTGCGAGGGTCTTTAGAGTCCCCAGATGTAACAGGCGCTCATGCGCGGCCCACACCACTTTGCCTCGCAACTCCGAAGGGACGACCAGCCGATGTCGCTGTGATTTTGCGTCCCAGTGCATGAGCAGACCCTGTACCATTTCCCATGCACCCGAATCACCTTTCACCCGGCCAGCACCCCCGACGCGACGACGCCACCCGAGGAGGGAGGTGTCCTCCATTTGGAGGCGCCCCCACTCAGTGACGGGCAACCCCAACAGGGAATCCCTTCCCTGTTGTTCGATAGAATTATCAGCCAGTGGCTCGTCATCGTCGGTGGCTGCCAGGATCGGGACCGATGCGTCCCCTGAAGGTCTGCAACGTCCCGACCCCAGGAGGCATGCACATTCCGAGGCGGTTGGCATGCGTGACAGAGCGTCCGCGTTGGTATGGCGAACGCCCTTACGGTAAGTGGTCTCAAAATCAAAATCCTGGAGAACCTCCAACCATCGAGACAACTGTCCCGATGGTTGCTGAACTCGCAGGGCATACTGTAGTGCCGCATGATCTGTGCGGACGGTGAAATGCCGACCGTACAGATATGGGCGGTATTGTTGGATGAAAAAAACAATTGCCAACAGTTCTCTACGGGTAACACAATATCTCTGCTCCGCAGGAGACAACACCCGACTACCGTATGCGACCACCCGTTCAACGCCATCAACCACCTGGGAAAGCACACCCCCAATACCCGTGTTGCTCGCATCGGTGTCGAGCAAAAAGGGTTTCGAAAAATCAGGGTAGATCAAGGGAGGGGCTTTCACCAGGGCGTCCCGAAGGGAGCGGAACGCAGCCTCCTCCTCTTGACCCCAGTGGAAACGAACCCCTTTAGATGTTAGAGCGTGCAGGGGTTTTGCAATTGTTGCAAAATCAGCAACAAACCGTCGATAATACGACGCGAACCCAATAAAACTCCTGACCTCTCCCACCGTAGTGGGAGTCGGCCAGGAGCTGACACACTGCGTTTTGGCGGGATCGGTAGCAATACCCGAGCGTCCCACGATGTGCCCCAAATAACGCACCGAATCACGCAACAAATGGCATTTTTGGGGCTTAAATTTCAAATTAGCAGCCCGCATCTTTAGGAAAACTGCCCGCAACCTCTGGAGATGGTCATCAAAAGTTTTACTAAAGACGATAACGTCATCCAAATAAATGAGGCACGACTCCCATTGCAGTCCAGCCAAAACCAATTCCATCAAACGCTGGAAAGTTGCCGGCGCTGAGTGCAAGCCCATCGGCAACCTGTTGAATTGAAACAAGCCGTGCGGTGTACGAAAAGCAGTTTTAGGCTTAGACTCATCATCCAGAGGAAGCTGCCAGAATCCCGAAAGTAAATCGAGTGTGGAAAAGAATCGCGCTCCCGCCAAAGCGTCAAGCGATTCATCCATCCGAGGGAGCGGGTATGCGTCGGCAACCGAAATTTTATTAAGACGCCGGAAGTCAACGCAAAACCGCAACGAACCGTCCTGCTTTTTAACCAGGACGATCGGCGCTCCCCAAGGGCTGGTGGAAGGAGAAATGATGTCCGCGGCTAACATGTCATCAACAGCCGATTTGACATGTTCCTTTTCGGCGGGACTCAACCGAAACGGATTTTGGCGAATTGGCGCGCTGTCACCCGTGTCAATATGGTGACGCAGCAAGTGAGTGCAGCCCAAATCATATTTATCTCGACTAAAAACGTCGGAAAATTCTCGCAATAGCGTTTTAAGTTGTTGACGCTCTGAATCGGACAGGTCCGTCGATCCCGCACAAAGCGCCTCGAGCCACCCTTCATCGCTGTCCGAACGCGGTCGCGACGCAGGGACAGTGTTGACGGAATTGACGGCGGGCTCCTCACACGGCACCGGCGTTGCGTGAGCAAGCACGGTCCCCTGTGGGAGCACCACCGTCTGCGAGCCCACGTTTAGGACCGCGATGAAGGGTTCACTATCCCCTCTCACTATGGTCTGGGCCGGTAGTAAATCAGGTCCACTAACCCCGGCCCTAGACGGTCCCAACAGTACCCCTTGCGCCCCGGCACCCTTAACGAGGGGCCGCCGAAGCTTCAAGGGCACCAACATTTGCGTTCCCGGAGGAACGCGTACCGTTCTCTCCACGAACGCCGGCACCGTCGCGAACGCCGTCCGAGTCGCAACTGGTGATGGCAGGAACGCCATGCGTCTGCCCGATGGAAGCTCTATGCACCCCTGGTCGATCAAAATTACAATCGGCATTTTGGCCAGGAAGTCCGTCCCCAGCAGGCACGGAACCGCCAGCGAGGACGAAACAAAAATCGGCCCAGACAATTTAATTTCCCCAATACAAATTTGGGCACGAATTTGTCCGATGATGCCAAGTGAGCCCCCGTTAGCCGCATAGAATGGTACGTTAACAGGCATCAAAGGACGGCTCCGGACAGGGAGAATATTGTAAATTAATTCCGAAATAATAGTCGCCGATGCCCCCGTATCGACCAGGATGCGCACTTCCACCCCGTCGATATATCCTACAACGGCCGACGACCCCGACGATGCGGCAACCACACGATCGGCCAGCACGGACCACTGGCCGGGTTCGATATGGGTACCCGGAGTGGTGCGTGATGGTGCGATGGTGCGTGATACCGGCCCCCCTCTCGTCGCGGTGTTTGAGTGCGTGACGGGTGTGTGTGTGGGCCAAACGTGTGGGGTGCCGCGACTCGCCGGTTTTTGACGGTGGAGCTTGGGATGAGGCCCGTCGTCCCGGTGAGGTGTCGTCCCGCGCTGACGAGGAGAGCGGCACCCCGAGGCGACGTGGCCCCGGACGCCGCAGTTATAACACCGCGGGAGCGACGTCGGAGGTGACGAGTGGTCGGAACGGCCTGACCCGTCCTGGCCCGGCCGTGCACTCGTCGCCTGTTGCCGTCGGTGGTCGACGGCGTAGAGTTCCTCCGTCGGAAGGGTGGCTGCAGCCACCGCACGCCCCGCCGATGCCCTGCTGGCTTTGCGTCGAAGCGACAGGAGGTTTGCGTGGAGGAGCCGCGCCGCCTGGAGCGATGTCATTTCCGCGTCCTCCTGTGCGACGACAGCGATGTCTAGATCGTCGGCCAGGAGGAGTATCTTCTCCGTTACCATAGCGTCGATGCCGTCGTCATCCATCCGGGGGAAGGCCGACTTGGCCATCGCCAGGAGGCTCGTTCGGTACGCTAGGGGCGACTCCTTCTCTCCCCGCTTGCGGTCGTAGAACTCTTGTCTGCATTCCGCCGACGGTCCGTAGACCCCTCCCAGCAGCTGCAGCGCCATCGGTAACGTGGAGCGCCTTTCCTTGGGTGCCGATGTTAGGGCGGCAAGCGCGTCGCCGTCCAGGAGCGCCGGCAGGGCGCTGAGAGCTTCTTCGTCCGTCCATTTAGCCATCTCCTGGTGGGCGAGGAAGCGTCTTTGAAAGCCGCTCCAGTCGCCCTCTGCGCCCACGAATTCTTTAAGCGGGGGCAGCCTTTGGTGTAGCGCAGCGGCTGCCGTGGAGTCCCGTGGACTGCTGCCTCCCCGACTCGGCTGCGTCTCGGCGCGAATGGCAGATGGCATCGCCTGTCGCAGCTTTGATGACGCGCCCTCCTCCGTCGTTGATGCAGCAGCCCCAGCGCGGCCGATGTCGGACCCCAGGTTGAGGTTGGCCACGCCCCTAGCGGTCGCTGCGTCGATGGCGGGAATTTCAAAATTTAAATCTTCAGAAATGGCGGGAAGACGCTCCCCACGCCGGTTCCTCTCGCCCCGCGGTGGACCACCAGCCGCCAGCCGTGTGATGTCCCCCAGCGCAGCGGCAGCGGCGTAGAGCAGTTCCGCCAGCCTCTCATGAGCCAGCCTCAGGTCGTCTCCCCGCTGCTCCTCTTCATGGCGATGCTCCGGTAAGCCCGCATCCGGCCCCGGCTGCACGTCGTCTAGTAGAGCCATCTCGGGCTCGGCAATTTCGGCGGCGTCCTCCGCCCGCTGTTCCCTGGCTCGAGCTGTTTGGCGCGTGTCCATGTTCTTGGTACTTCTGACGCCAGATGAAGTGTTGTTGAAGACGCGTGGACAACGGGGTAAGGCACACGTATTTATTTATACAAAGGGCTTACAGTACTAGAGGGATGTATCGGCCCCCTCACCCGTACAACTGGGAATTCACCCCTAGCTAGCCTTCCTAGCTGAGTCCTCCGCTAACGGGCTAGGGGAGGCTGTCTGGCCCGACACTGGTTAGTCGGGCTACGGTACCCGGAATCCCAGAGGTCTGACTCTGGTTCCGGGACCACGCCACTGGCTCCAGCCTGCACTGCCCTTACAAGGGCGGCGTCCCAGGGGGAGTCCAGGGCCTATCTGGCTGGTCTTCTCTCTTCTCTTAACTACTCTAAGACTGAGCCCCGAGCTCTCTGGCTCAACCCTTTTTATACCCCGTTAGAGGATCGAAACCCCCCTCACGCCGTCCAGTACGGACGTCGTTGCGGGCACCACCCCGTGTGCTCACGGAGACCCCGCCCACTGTGTCTGTTTTCCATTTGCCCCTATGTAAACAGCCCTACACAAACAGACCCTCTGTAACAGCCCTACATCTGTATGATTTCGTTTCCATACTACTGTAATTCAAAATGTAACATTATGCTTTCGCCCAAGCACCGTGCATATTATATTTCAGTAACAGAAGTCTGCAACAAATCTAATTTATTGTAATTTGCAGAGTGAACTGTTTGTTTGATGCCTGGATTAACTTAAAATAATATTGCGTGTTTTTTAGATGTTAATGACTGCATGTCAAATCCTTGCATGCACGGCCAGTGTGTGGATGGACTCAATCAATTCTTCTGTGAATGTGCCAAGGGATGGACAGGAAACTTATGTGACAAAAGTAAGTTCCTTAAATTCCTACATACTCTTATGCCGGCACATTCTCCTTTATCTTACCAATGAGGCTGTGGTGTATGAATTGTTTAAGCTGTGGGAAAACATAACTATATTTATGGATTGAAAATCTGCATCAAGCAGAACACGTTTTAAGACAGGCAATCAGGAGGGGGAAACCGTTATTATATTATAACACTGTGATTAATGGTGATTTACATCTCTTCATACATTCTCTGCTGGATGAAGGCCCACATCACTGTTGTTTTGACCATACTTCACCACACTGGGCAGTGCAGGTTTGTAAATAGGGGAAGCCAGGGCAGGTTCAGATATAATTTCCACTCATGTAGCCATGACAGGGAACTTTACTTGGGTTGCCAGGTTCTTTGTGAATGCGCAAATACAGTGCCACCGCCCCTCACTTTGATGTCACACCTGTGTATAATGCACACACTTTAGTATTAGCCAAGCATATTTGATTTAAAGTCATAGCTGTGCCTATTTTGTAATCCAATCAAACTGTCGAGAGCCAAGTGAGATCACACTGTGTTGTATATTGTACAGTATTTGCAAATTACACATTTACTTTGTCTGCTACCTTACAACTTTAAAATGTGTGGTTTTTTTCTGCCGTCTGTACTTGTACCCTTTTTACAACCGTCCAACGTGTTGTGTAAAGGTAGAGCAAACATGGCAAGATGGATCAATCAATTCAGCAATGATGGACTCTGTAGTAATACACTTATATACCCTAGTATGCCCTATACTGCTGCACTAAATCAGTGTTGCGTAATGTCGTTATCTTGCTTGGAAGTGTGTAGATATACAAACATTCCACCATGCTATAATCCACATCCATGGTATTGCCAAATGATTACGAATGATTAAGAGTGACTCCCATGTGAAATATTTGTCAAGCAATCCCTCTTAACATTAATTTTGACAGCTTCAATAGCTTGGAAATTGTTATATACTGTGCTTTCATGGCATATAGAGGGGAATTTAAATGGACCACAATTTCACACAACTATAACTTCTTCATGATGAAAGCTACCTTGACAACTAATGTACTATTAAATAGGGCACACTGTAGCATATTGCATAACGTATGCTAATCGCATGCAAATCTCATTAAGAAATTAGGGGAAATGTAAACGTTCACGTAAATAATTGTTTACGCTTAATTATTCTACTTCACTCATGATTTACACTGCTAATAAACAGTTCAGTGTTACATTATTTGAAACTCCAGGCACTAAATATACACATCTACAGAAGCGTGATACATGTATACTTGTCGATCTTGTGTGTTGGCATATGCTATCGGCCTATTTATGAACTATAAATGCTGAAAATCTATATTTTAGTTTTTTACTATTTGACAAGATGATGTTTAAAAAGTATTGGTCTCACATGTAACCCTTCATCTGCAACAATGTATTGTTTTGATGCAGACGTTGACGACTGCAAAGACATGCCGCTGTGCCTAAATGACGGAACTTGCAACGATCTTGTCAATGGAGTCAACTGCACTTGTGCCCCAGGGTTCATGGGAGAATTCTGCGAATATAGTAAGCGCTCACGTGGTCAAGTGTGAGATGATCACACGTTGTTTTCTCCCCAACGTTATGCACTTTCCAGTTTGAAAATGGGCAGCACAGCGTCGAAGTGAGGTGATGCAGGACTATTCTCAATGTCAAAAGTCAATGCAATACATTTGCCAACGTATCTGAATTAGAAGAACAAACTATATATGGGGAATAATAGCTACTATACTTTTGAGGCATAAACAATTATAAAATAACACTTACTAAGAACAAAAATATTGTTACATAGTGTTATACATGTTCACGGCTGTGTTATTGACGAATGTGTTTAGTTGTTTTTGTTCATTGTACTTGCGCACCACTGCTTCCAATGCAGCATTACCAAATCATTCTCAATGTCTTATCGTTTTGCTGCTTTAATTAGCCCACTAGACACTGGGCAGCAGTTGCAGATACAAACCAAGGCTGTGTATTGTGGGCTGCCTGACACCAAAGGGTGCCATGGTGGTGTGATGTCATTTTCCTTGCCTGGTATGGAGGTCAGAGGTTCTATCCTGGCACCACTATTTTTGTAATTTGCAAGTTCTCCCAGTGGTGGTGTGGATTTTTTTCTCCAGGTCCTCTGGGTTTTCCATCCACATTCAGAAACATGTGTTTAGATTATTCAGATTATTTTGCTGCTATAAATTTTCACACGATAAGCCACTTCGTTGAGCTATTATTTATGGCCAGGTGGCTTCTGAAAAATAAGCTAATAGCTCAATGGGCTTTACGTGGTAAGATAAACAACAGTTTAGTTTTATTTGTATTTTTTAAGTGATTTGTTTACTATTTCTATACTTTTCACTTCTATTATGTTTTTATATTGTTTATTGTTGTAACGTTCTGACCTGCCCCTACTGGGCATCTGTGAAAAAGAGCTTTATATCTCATCAGATACCTCCAGTTTAAATATTCTGACTCTAATTTAATTATTCGATCATGAAAAAAAGCAATCCTCTATCATCCAAGCGTGACCTTAAGGCACTGTGCTATCGCGATAACGACCAGTCATTGTGGTACTACTTGCCTTAGATTCACACCTGGTCCCAGTTGGGTAAGTGCGAGACTGCCGTCTATTCATCAGTATTGTTTAACATGGATGTCAATTTTTTAAATATGGGAAAAAAATAGTGATGAGTTTCATATATTTGGTCGATGCTAAGTTTTTTTTTTTAAATCAACCAGATCGTCGAATATTTGAATTATGTATTGTTTTCCTTTTTCCCCTCAAAGATATTGACGACTGCACTGGAAATACATGTCAGAATAATGCAACATGTGTGGATGGCATTGGCAATTTCACATGCAGATGTGTAGATGGATGGAGTGGTGATACCTGTTCGATTGGTAAGATATACTTTTTTACATGCTTAATGCAATTCAGATCACTATCACTTAAGTCTATCATTCGGTCTATTATTGATTTCAGAAAATTAAGTGCTACCTTGAAATGAATGTCATGACAGTAAAAGTATTCTAATTACTTCGTGTTAATTACTAATCAAATTGCCAATAAATTTACGTCCTTAAAAGTTATTTGTTTGCAATGTGTTATCCACAAATGTTCATTTAATTGTTAAATGATTTCATATTTGATGTTTTCATGCATAAAAGTTACGGAAAAGTAATTATGTGAGCATTTCTAAAACATGCCAGTATCACTGCCTGTTGATATCACCATCTGAATATGCCACATTTAAAAACTGCCCAGAATGATCAGTAATATGGAAATATAAACTCATTCCATATGTTGACTGTAGCCTCCTTTAGAAAAGATGTAACATTTCTGTCGATGTATCCAGGACGCAATCATAACAAAAAGACCTATTCACGTGTGTATTTTTATGTGCAGATACTAACGAGTGTGAAGGAGGGTCCTTCCGGTGCCATAGAACCCTGGGGGTCTGTATCAACACACCTGGCTCTTACAGTTGTCAGTGTATCGCTGGCTATGCTGGAGACGGCATCGAATGTTTTGGTAACATTTACAAAGCTACATTGCGCTCGTAAATATTACAGCCAGTACTGTAATTAAAGCAACCTTTTACATTTGCTTATCAATTGACTCTTATATTCTTTGGTTCTTTCGGTAAAGTCACGTAGATAGAAAAATTATAATAAAAAATGAAAGTTAATAAAAACAATAAAAGAAAAATTATAAAAACAAAAACGACTAATGTAGACTGTAGCCTAGTTTTTAATCGGAGTGAGTGTACTGGCAACCTATAATGTGGACTGTAGCCTGGTTATTAAGTTTGGTGAGCGTACTGGTAGTCTATAATGTAGACTGTAGCCTGGTTTAAAGCTGGTGAGCGTATTGGCAGTCTATACTGTCGACTGTAGAAATGGTTATTAAACTGAGTGAGCGTACTGACAGTCGATAATGTCAACTTATGCGCTAACTCAGGTTAAGAACCAGGCTACAGTCTGCATTAGTGTTTTTTTTGTTATTATTTTTATTCACTTTATTTTTTTCTCTTATTTTTCTATCTACGTGACTTTACCGAAAGAACCAAAGAATATAAATTCTGCAGTCACGAAAGTTTTAAGTCAAAATCAATTCTTAATTTATGCTTGGCACGTTAACTTTTTAATCCGTTTTTGAGAAAGGTGACTGAAATAATGCAATAGTATTTCAGTGAATGTATGTCACGTGTGATATGTATATAATTATAAATATATTGCATTCTCCCCCATTTTACAGAAAACAGACTATTTGATTATGGTCCAGAAGTGAATGACCGAGAGTTAAAAGTCAGGTTAACAGATTTCGTGTCTCCTTCTTTCACGCCTCCCTATGGGTTTCCATTTTCTTCAAAGTTCTACCAACAGTTGTATGTGAGTAAATGATGGTTATGTTCAAATTGTCAAATGTTGTGGTCTATTACCAAAGTATGTAAAACACCAAATTTAAAAAATGTCATGGTAATAATCATGTAATATGTTTAGAATACCCATAGCCGTCATTCATATATACAAGCTCACTTATAAATTATTCATCACACTGCCATTGTTTACAGTCTGCATGTAAATAGAAATTCACAAAAATAGATATGTATCCACTTTACGCTGTTGTGAAATGAAACATTGGCATAATAATGTATTTAAGCAGCTCTGAGCTTGTCGCTGAATGAAGAATGATAGCCATTAACATGCCCAACTATTTAAAAGTCAGTCACTTTCCATCCATTTCTCTGAAACCATCATGCACTTTTAAAACAGTTATTTTATCTATTAGTCATTATAGTATTAATATTTGTCATATTTTTTTCATATTGATGTATGCAAGTTTTTCACTCGTGTGAACCTATTTGTTACTTGATCTTTGTATTATTTATTTTCAACCACAGTTTTCAGACAATGGGTTGATTGTGTTCAAAGAAGGTGAAAATCCGACACGTTTCGCGTTTCCCAACCCCATCAAAAATGGATTTACGAGTTCATTTCCTGTCCCCATGGTTGCCGTTTTCTGGGATGATTCCGATTTTTCATCAGACAATGGGACGATGTATTTCCAGGTGCGTACATGATTTCTATGTACATATCAGCATAAAAAAGGCTTTAAAATCCACTGCGCGGTAATGCAATGCATTATAGAGAATTCAGTAAAAAAGCAATGAAAGAGGAGAACTTATGCAGCCATACATACACGAAATCTTGTGGGACATGTCTGACATTCTATACCCTATAAGTCCACGTGAAAAGAGGTACCAGAAAAATGTGTAATTACATAATAGTTGGGTGTTGGTGGCAAAAGGTATTTATAGAATTTTAACTTTGGAATCTTTTAATTAAGACAGACCCAGTGAATCATCCTTTCACACTCACTACAGAAGATGTCTGGTAGTATGCTAAATTGGTTAGATATACGCAATGGCTTATTGTTGTTGACCTGATCAGTCTTATTATGATTTGTTTGTATCAATTATATGAAGTAAAGGATGCTATGTTTCTCCAAATGCTATAAACTAATTCATACATGTGAACCGGGTCACCCTTGCAAAAGATGAAATGTCTCAATTGTTTTTTTTTATCACCTGGTTAAATAAAGGATATTGACTTTATATATGATATTGACTTTTCAAGAATACTGACTTACGACATATCTCCAGTATTTTTTATCGACTATATCCCGTCGCTTACATTTCAGATTTGTTCAATTATGTTGAGAATGCTCATGTTGTTCAGACAACTCTTCTATTTTAAATGCATTATTTTGTTGTTGTTGAAAAGTCACATTTGAAATATTGTTTGTATCTGGTGATGTTATTTAAATACATATTACATGTATAAGTTGAACCAACAACACAGCTACTGATTCCAACTGCAACTGTGGTCTGTTGGCAGGAGTACGATTTTACAAAAACCAGCAACCCCCCGACCATGCATGCCCAGGACCTCCGTGAAAGAGTGAAGGCCCAGATTCGGGCCAACTTCAGCAGTAGCAGTCAACCAGACTTACAGAGCTATGATCCCACTTGGATGCTGAAGATCACCTGGAAGGAGGCCCCAGCTATACCTGCCAGGAATAACTTGGCAAATGTACGGCCTTTCTGTGATAACACATCTAACCTGTCCATTTTGCAAGTTTTCTTTTTTTTGAAGGATAGCACGGTTGGCTACATACGGCGTGAAATAAGTTTAACATACGTACATACATCAGATGCTCTTTTTCTCTCCGTGACATAAAATAACAATCCGCAATTAACCAGTTATCATCAAATAGAGCTCATGTCCTCAATTTCATTCCAATTTTGTTTTAGAGTGATATAGAATATATATTTATTATATAATATAATTGACTATGATAGACTTTGTCCATTATTACATTCTGCATTACATTCAGGAGACCTTTTACCATCAGTGGTGTGAGCAAGACATTGCAAGGCTGCATAATTACCTTTTTACTTGCTTTTATTTCTATTTCAGACAAATACCTTCCAGGCTGTCCTGAATACAGATGGCGTCTTCTCATTTTGCCTAATAATGTTTAAAGATGGAGGCATGCTGTGGAGGCCAGAGACCAGAGACCCTAATACCAACAATGCGCTAATGGGATTTCACAGGTGAATGGATATGGCAGCATGAAGGCATTTATCACCTTTGATGCACTGATTTATATGATCTTTAAAGGTGCATTGACAATTTTTGATACTCCTATTGTTATGGAGTGACTCATGCAGCCAGCTATGGCTGAAAAGTTTGGTAGAACATGTTATGTATATCGTTTATTAGAAAATTTCAATCACAGTTCCTATGATCACTGTTACATTGCTTTTATAGCTTTATTTTGGTGATTTCGAAAACGTTTTGGTTTAGCCGTATTTTTTTTTTGCTGCTTGCGTTGTGGCCGAAACGTCGTGAGAATTGTATTTTATTATGTTTTATTTTTATTATTTTATTATTTCCCTTCTACGTGACTTTACCAAAAGAACCAAGAAGATTAGCCATATTTGTTTGTTGTAGTACAGAGTTAGACTGATAATTTTAATCTAAATTGTCTTATGGTTGTTATTGTTTGACTTGTATCCCACTGGGATTTTTGCACACAGCATTGATATACGGTGCTTTTTCTGGAAGACTTTGCAGTTTTTTCCTGAATTTTTCTGTTTGCGTGTAGTCACTTTAAGATGTTTCTTGTTCATGTTTTTGTTTGTTGCGGTTGCACCCGATTCAAGAGCCGAATGGCTCACAGGGCTATACCAAATAAATGAAACTGAAATATTTATAACACGAAGGTTATTTATATTGGCTTCATTAATGGCAAACATAAATTTTGTATAACGATATGTGCTGTTAAAAGTGACATTGCCTGTGACCAAATCATGGACCCGATCTCATTAGATCTTAAAAGTGGATTAATAGTTTTTCATTCATTCACACATTTCTGTTCTACCTATTCCACCGTTTTGTGTGCAGTGGAACCAAGGAGCTGTACTATAATCATCCACTTTCGAGGGGAAATATGTCGGTTCGTTATCGTCCAGACCAGGCTATTGGACTAGACACAGGTATGGAATTCGGTAACATTTGAACACCAAAGTTAATGATATGTACATTTTTTATTTTTTTGTATTCATATGAGATGTAAACATATTTTTGTTTACATCTCAATCTTACACTTAACGCTTTAATGTACAATGTGTATACTAGGAGTTGGAAATATTCAGCCTCCTATTAATTGCTGCATCACATCAATTGAATTTTGTGAATCACCCTTTGATTGATATGTTTGATGACTTTTTTTCATGACAATAATAATCTCAGCAATACATGTTTTCATCTGTTCATAAAGTGACTATTTTTTACATTGAGAAAAATTATGTATTGCAGGTTTAAAGGGAAGGTGGGCTTACAGGTTGGAAAATAACTCACTCAGCATAACCAACCCAAAGCGTCAATGCCTAGAGTGGGTTAGGAATGAGATAGCCCTTCCTCCCTTGGCCTACTTCACCTCTTGTCCCTGCTCCTATCAGCAAGGAGTGTTTGACAGTAACTACATTGATGGCAACCTAATAAGCCTCTACTACTCCTTTGATGTTCACTACGTCCCAGGTAATCTAATAGCAGCATGGCTTCTGATACACAATTGTAAACTGCACCATATTAAACATAGCTTTTGCAAAGTCTTACTTTCCATACATTTGTCTAATGGTATTAAGTGAAATGCAATCGAGTACACCGCAAATAAAATACAGAAATTAGTCACTGTAAATGAAGTTAATTATTTGTTGCATAAAACACTACTAAATATACAGATAATTCAAATGATTAAGGCAAAAAAACGTTACCTAACCCAATAAGCAAAAGTAATGTAAATGTTTTGGCATGGTTTCTACTCTTTCTCGTATGATATAAAGTTTCAAATCGCTCCTGTTAAATTATGTGCAATTTAACGCCACAGGCTTCGTTTAAAAGTACGATGCAGAACTTTAAAAGTCACGAAACGCGTATCGAAATTAAATGTAATACTGCGTCGTGTATTTTTTTTATCAATATGATTTTTGTAAAAATTGTGATGGATTTTTTTTGCTGTTCACTTTTGCGTTATCATTAGGTGCGCGCTGGATCTTACAAAGCTTCCGTAAAAATCGTTTTGGGGGAGGCGTGAGGTGCTACTACAACAGACTGGGGGCACTCATGTCCGGGTGGTATGAAAGGCATCTACCCACCCCGTGGAATCCTCCCGTCAATGAATGGTCTCTCTATGTCATTAGTAATAACCAAAGGATCGACTTCTACGATTGGATGCACAATGTTTGGTTACCACAAGAGAGGCAGCACTATCTAGGTGAGTCATGTTTTGGTGTAATAAAAGCTTCTAAGGATGGATTTAGAGAGAATGTTTCATAAACCGTACCTCAGAGTTTCCCAAGTATATATTGTAGATGTAGGCCTCCTCTCTTTCAACAAAATAGAAGCTTTTTCAGGACTATGTCTGTAAATATATCCAACAATAATCCACTTGTGCCAAGGCATAAAATATCACAAACATACAACAATGTTTTTCTATAGCTGGTGTAAAAAAGGAAATATTTAAAATGTTGCACCGAAACAACACCTCAAGAAGAAAAAAAAATGTTCAGGTTTCTATGGCAAGGGTTTGTTAAGGGTTGGGTTATTTTATGTTGAGCGCTGTGAGGCTTTGTATGAATGGCGCTGTGTTAAATCAAGTTTTAGTTAGTCAACACTATCAAATGTCCTACTCTGAACCCATGGTAATGCTACACATTAACAAGATGGGAGCATCTTGGATATGTTATAAAGTAAACCAACACCCCAACAGGGCAGTTTAACGTCACTCTCTGAATAGTGTAGATGATTCATTGCAACGATCATCTTGACAAACCAAACATAGCTCCTGTGTATACTTTTTCAACAAAAACTGGATGTAGCTTTACAGAAATGTCACCTTTGAAGTTCATATGCTATCACTATTCACAGCTAAAATTGTGAAATGATAGAGTGAAGAACTCAGAACGCCCACAAAGAATGTTGTTGTAGGATTGCGTGTACCGAGTTTAATGTCTTTCTGTTTTGACAGTAAGGTACAAGAAGCAATGTATATTTGTTTCCATATATTTTGTGCAGTAGGTTTGTTAACATTGCACACTGAATCAGTTCAATCGATATTTTCTGGAAATAGCCCAATGGTATGTTAAAATATACCAGCGAGTTTAAGTAACTGTTGAAAAAAACACGTGAAAGACCAACAAATGATGTAGATTTGATTGGCTTTCTGTGGGGCATGCTTTCTAAATAAAAATATGGCCATTACTTGTGTACAGCATCTAAAGATGCAGTCACAATTCTAGAGGCTACATAAATGTAATCTTAAGCTTGCGTGACTGCAGGAATCCATATTCTTTGGTTCTTTCAGTAAAGTCACGTAGGTATAAAATAAAATAAATCACGACGAGAGAGCAGCTACTCTTGCGCTAGTTCAGCAGTTTCACTGTTAGATTATATTTTTTCCGCCTGAGGACGACCGCTTGTGTTGCGATCAAAACGTCGTGATTGATTTTATTTTATACCTACGTGACTTTACCGAAATAACCAAAGAGTATACATAAATTTTAATTCTCCATTTGCTTATGTGTGTGTGTCTTTGTACTCCTTTTAGAAAACGAACTGGAACCCTACAGATCCTGCTGTCAAAAATCTGGAGAGAGCAGGCTGTGCGAGCTATATCAGCAGAGGCGCCCTCGTAACCAGTGTGCTTTCTATAGGCCACCCACCTCTGGTGAGCTTCATTAGCTAAAACCATACGTGTTTAACATACATTGCATGCAATTCAATTGGTGTTCTGTGTATTATGTTTTGCTCTTTCTTTACATGCCTCCTAATTCATCCTTCCAAACTTCAGCTCATACAACATTATCTTTCTCTTCTTGTTTCTTGTTATCTTTCTTGCCTTTCATACATCTCTCTGCCAAAACTTTTCATCAAGCTTTTACCTCGCACAGTTTTGAAGACATATCGTCTTTAATTGCCGCACATTATATAGCTCTAAACTACCTACCTGCGCACCTTGCACAGGATTCACAAATATAATTCATATCATACTGATTTTGTAATGCAAGTCACTCAGGTTTTTCGGGAAATATGAACACTGAGTTGTATCAGTAAGCACCACAAGGTGTGCGTTTCATTAAAACATTCAAAGCACTGTCTCGTATTTCTTCTTCATCATCGATGTTATGCAGCTCGTCATAACACGCTATTTTGAACTGAATTTTGCTGTGCTACTTTTAAAAGGACCTCGACAACGTGAGTACTGAAAGGGCTTATTTATTAAGCCGAGCGACAAAGTGACACCACACTTGTCGAGAACCAATACTCAAGAGCACTCTGAACTCTTGTAATGTGTCCTTAAATGCTTCTTGATTCTTCCTAACTGCCGCATCATGCAAAACCAATCCGGCCTTCCTCTCGATGAATGGTCTTGAACCGACCCATGACTTCTGTTGAGTATTTCCCGGGTTATTGGCTTCCATAGCCATCTGCCAATCCAGTTGGATCCATGGGACCCTTTTTGCCATTATCAAGATGATGAAAAAAGAAAAACCTTTACCCTTTCAGGCAACAATACAGGTGTCAAGACGTTTAAACACCAAAGAGACACCCATTACAAGGCATCGAGTCTGCATTAACCTCACATACTGTAGCTGTGGTAAAACATGCAATTAAATATGATTTGGTAATGAACGCATTGCCATTGAAACTGATTGGCCTACACAAGAGACAGACTCCTTTATGGCTTTATCTCACCAGCATTATACCGGAGAACGTCAAAAGACAAACAATACAAGGATAATGTATCGCCAAATTATAAATACCTCAAGTTAAGCAGTTTATATCTATGGGACTTTTTTGCCAGTACAGTATCAAAATGATCAACACAGAAAAGGCTTTACTTTTTATTTCCACAACTATCGGACAGTTTTGTTTAAAGATGTCCATTGAGAAACAATATTGAACTGGTTTGAGGTTTGACTTGGGCCTGTGATCGATGTATCCCGATTTGAACCGTGCACACTCGATGCAGTTCTTGAACTGAGGAGCCGAGAACGAATTGTGTGCGAGGGATATCATCCACCCGTTGGAAGAGACTGACATCCATATGATCCAAAATAACAGATATGAATCTTTCCCGACAATTTATTTACGAATGTATAAGAAGTACACCTCTCATGGCTGGACATCAGCTTCTGATGGCACTGATGTCCTAGTCCAACAGGGAATTTGGCCTCCAAAACATGAATCACGTCGAGAGGGTTGATCTCCACGGTGAGTTAAAGAAACAGCAGCAGCTGCAAAAATGCGTGGTGTATGAAGGGATGTGGATGATTTGCGTGGTTGGGGGTAACTCCTCTATTGCTGCACCTGAAAGAGGCAATGAGGGCACGTGGAATTTTAGCAATCCTGTCACATCACCGTGCACTGTTAATGTACCAACTTTTGTTCTAATCGAAGCGTTACACTGTGAATGTGCCTTGTAATCGTTGCTCAGAATTGCCTTATGGCTTTAGCTTCCACACATTTTGTCACGTATCTTTCCTATGTTCCCAAAAATGCCAGTTATTATATTAGCTTTCTATTTAAGTCCACGCTATAAAGTTGCCAAAACAGTATTTCCTCTTGTAATAGGGATTTCATTACATATATTGTATATTTGGTCATACACTAAAAAACATTTACAATCCTATAATGTAATTTCAATCCACTGCTGCTGCATGAAGACATCCACCAACTGACACTATAACTTTGAGGCACGGGCATCTGTAAAATCTATATATTTAACCGTAATATTGATTCACTTATTTTTTCAAATTAACTTCGGTGCCTACATTGTGCCATCATCACACTTTTGTGCATTTGTCTATGCGCAGTACTCCAGCGGTGTATTATACTACCGTGTATTGGACATTAACTGCGGTCTGACACTGTTTTCTGTTACATTTTTGTTTCAGCATTTCTAATCGGTGACCCCCACATTACGACGCTGGACAACGTCTCGTATACCTTCAACGGCCTCGGGGAGTTCACCGTTCTTCACGCATTCGGAGAGAATGGCAGCGAGTTAATCCTGCAGGGCCGGACTGACGTTGCAGGCACCAATGGGACCTTCAAAGCCACCTCCTTTGTAGCTCTTGTCGCGCACGAGACGGGGGGAGCAAAGGTATGTGGGGGCAGTGTGATTTACAATGATGTAAATCTCCCTGTAATGCACATGCATAGGGTTACACGGTACTTTATCTGCGTGATATCCGCACAGATTGTAAAATAACTGTGGTCTTGCTGTGGTCTATGTTACCCCATACATTCACATGCATTTCCAGTCTCATACAGTGTCTACCAATGAATCACTCTGTTAAGAAGTTAGATACAAACGTGTGCTATAAAGGAACTGTATGTATAGTAACTGTAACTGGGTGAGGAGTAGTGCAGGTGATTAGCACAGCTATACGAAACACGAGTTACCATGGGTTTGACCACTGCTATAATCAACGTTAGTAGCGAGTGATATATGAATACATTCTGACCCACATTCACCAAGCAGTACAGTACTGAACCAGCGTGGAAAAATATGAAACATCTCCCACAACCACATGGCATGGGAAGGCCCTCACCCAGCAGTGGATTGACCAAAAAGGCTGTAAATGCACTGCATGTTAAACAAGCAGAATGACACTGCCGAGTTAGCTTACTAATTCATGACCAAACTTATTTCCGCATTTCCAAAGTCCCAAATTACTTTCTTTGAAAACACACTAGACTGCTGTGGCACATGATGGGCATACCAACAGGTGTAACATTATACTGTCGTACCAAAAATACCGAGGGCCTATATGAAGGGTCTCGCAACAAAATGACATATACGGTATAAGGTAGATCATAGAATATAATCGATTATCGGGGGAGGGAGCGCCGGTTTTTTCAAAAACGCCGGATAATCACTAATAATCTTTATTTAAAATAGCTTATTTTTCCACATCATTGAAAACCATGTTTTTAGGTGTCGTATGTATGTTATTTTTTGTTTAAATTTGTTTTGAAATCGGCATAAATGAACGTACGAAGAGTAAAAAATAAATATCCTGCTGTAAAAGTTACCGTTTTTGACTGTATTGTACTTACCACTCCAATCTCGAAGACTGGCATGGGGCTGATGTAGCACGCACTCCTACGCTCTTGTTTCAACAACATGATTGTGTTTGACGGTCTTTATTATTTTTATTATTATTATCTATTGTGGACTGGGTCACAGCCTCCGGAGCGGTATGTTTCTATGTATGTTTACAATTATGATCAATTTAAACAGGTGCAGTGGATACTCGGAGATAACAGCACTGCAGTCTTTTTAAACGACGAAGCTGTGAATGTAACAGGTAACTTTTGGAACAATACAGTTTATCATTATTATTTGTATTTATGAGGCACATATTATAATGTGTAATTCACATTCAAAGTAGTGTATGTGACAATGCTGTCAATATATAAATACATCCTTTTGGATGTGAGGACGTATTTTTTTTACGATATATTAAATTAAGTTATAATTGTATTGTTTGTGTAGACATTTACATGCATCCTCAGCCTAGATAAAAATAGTAAACCCCTTCACATAAATACAACCGACGTGTATGCTTACTTTCACACATACATAAAAAAACACACTAAAATATAATAATACTGTAATCGTCATCAGCATAATTATAGAGAATATAAGTAATACAAATAATTAAACGTAAAATCTTCCCTTTTTTATACTTCTGACTGTCCGTGTAAAAAAATTGCCCGTCATTATCATCCATAGACACATATGTACTGATTAATCTCCAAATGATTGATGAAATGTCACTATTCGGAGTTGTAATTCAGTTCAATAATCAATAGTTTCCCCTCTTGTATTGTATGTTGTGATTGATGTGTAATTTTGTATATATGTATTAATCGTATTAAGTCAATTAACTTAAATGCAAGCATTAGCATGTGATGTGCTTGTGAATTTAATACATCTTAAATAATAAAACAAATAAAACTATTCCAAGTGTAAAATTTCACTTTAATTGATTATTCTATATATCGTGACATGCCCTAATTGTTTTATTCTGGTGCCGCTGTCTTGGCAGATGTTCCATTCATAAAAAACTCAACATCAATTCAGCGGTCAGGAAATTCAGGCCTAATGGCCTCATTCCCGTCGGGCATCTCCGTGAACGTGTCAGGGGTTTACGGGGCCCTCAGCTACATCATTCTGCTGCCAGAAACGTTCATCAACCGCACGCAAGGCCTACTAGGTGAGACTTATCTCTGATGGAATCTCACATATTGACCCTTCATCGTTCGTCAAATGGCACACGAAGTTGTCGAATGTCAGTCCTAAATATTAAAACAACATGTGCCTTCTTAAAACGTATCAACTTAGCAAGCATTGTGTTAAATAATTATTTTTTAAACTGCCTTGAGTTTCAGTTTCACACTTTGGCTTTCACAACCAATATTATTCATATTGAAGGTGTTTTGGGTTAGATCGCATAAGTATAAATGTGTTGTTAACCCGCCACCACCCGACACAGATAATTAGTAAGGTTTGTCACGTAAACAAAACATGCCATTTAGTTACTACTTCAGCCCACCGGTGTCAATTCTGGCAAAATCGCCCGATGATGCTGGATGTAATTACCAGCGAAACATCCTACTCAAATGATAAATGTTGTGCATTTACTCTCCAACACACCAGTGTTCTGAAGTATAAACTAATTGGCACGTTTTATTTACGTGACAAACCTGACTAATTGGCTATATCGACTGGTGGTGGGTTTATGACACATCTATACTAAAGTGATCTTACCCAAAACATGGTCTTGATTTTTTTTATTTTCCCTGTTTATTATTTTTGTCATTTTAATGACCCAGGTTACTTTGACATGCAACTTTCCTAGTGTGCTGAGTTTTTACCTGGTTAAATAAAAAAAAATTTCACACGTGCATACAGAAACTCCAAGAGGTTCATTTTACCGAAAAACACATGCGATGAATACAGTCGCCTTTGTCCAGCATGTTTCTCAATTGGTTGCAATGCTGCAGTGCCGTGTAGTGTCGTGTATAAGCTGCACAGAGGCTGCCACTACAAGAGCAAAAAAATACAAGTGTCAAGCAGAAAGCTATGATCAGATTTTTCGTGAAAGGTGCTGCTGAGATGTATGGCTGTACATGGGGACACAGCAATTCAGACAACATTTATTGCACAGCATGGTGACCTATCTGCAATACACCTGTGTTTTGTCTGGTATTAATTATTTCATCACCATCGTGTGTTAATTAAAGTTGCTGCCACTTTTGTTCTGACACTCCTAGGCTTGATATAAATGTTTGCATCGCCATGCTGAAATCTCTAGACCAACGTGCATGGCATTGCTTTCACACATACAGGTGTTCTTGTATAACTGTATGAAATCTGCCATACATTTGATCACAACATTTTACTTTAATGACATATCCACTGCTGCAGCACCTTCCAATTAGTACGGCTGGCTACGTACGGTGCGAAATAATTTCAACAAACATGCATACATGCAGTACCTCTTTGCAGACAAAAGTAGTACCTGTGCTACACATGACAATGCAGTCTGGAAACATTGAGTAACGTTCTGCATATAAACGGCATAATGCTCTGTGGGTTATAAATTCGCAACACTTACTTTGATTATTTTCTACGCAGGTGTTTTCAACAAGGATCCCACAGATGACTTTCAACCTTCAAATGGCACTGTACTGCCATTCAATGGAACGTTACCACCAGAATCTACAATATTTTATGAGTTTGGCATGACTTGTAAGTTGTCCTGTAGTGCAACGTGTTTTGTAAATTATACTTATTGCTTTGAATATAACTTATCAAGAATGAGCATAATGATGGGTACTGCTTGCTTATTAAAAAGCACCGTTTCCAATTACCTTTGCAGGGAAAACTACACCAAGCACAAGCCTGTTTTCTTATAACAGCAGCACTGGGGAGAGCTGGTACACCTTCAACAACAATAGCTTTGTGCCACTGTTTTATGAAGACCTCGTGAATCAAACGAGCCCAGAAAATCTGGCAGCAGTTGAAAGTACATGTGGAGGGCAGAAGGATTGCATTTTTGATACACTTAGCACTGGAGACATGCAATTCGGACTCGCTACACGAACCAGTACTAACGCGTTTATCAAAGAGAGCCAAGAGCTAAGTAAGTGTGCACGTTTTTGATGTTACATCCTCAAAAACATGCAGTCAATCTGTGTTAAATTTTGGTGAAACTTAACTTGTAGTAACATTATTTTGGTGAGTTGGAGGTCATATTCCAGTTAACTTTTTGTGGGATCACATATATGACCCGCTGACTGGTAATACTGCATTGCTCATGTGTGTTGTGTTAGCATTTCAAGTTTTCATTATGACTTATATATACTAGCTTTTTTGCCCGTCCAAGGACGGGTGTATATTGCAGTAAATCTGAAATATTCAATAGAAATATTGTTCAGCTCATGATTATTAATGAGGGGGGCTTGCCCCATGTGGAGTGACCTCACCCGCGAATGGTTATTGTGGAGGGGTGCGGCATTTGGAGTGACGTCACCCTCTTATGATTATTAATGAGGGGAGGGGTGCGGCATGTGGAGTGCGTTAGTGTAAATTTCCACGCGGGCATGAATATTAATGTAGTGGGGGGGGGCTCTTTTTCAGTGACGTCACGCATGGATGCAGCACTGTGCTGCGTATATTTATATTTTACTGTCACATTCTATAAAGAAATGTCATATTTGAAACGACTTAGCGTAATCAATTATTTCATTGAGCTCGACCTTCCTCTGCGTTAGTTAAAAAATCCACCCACTTATGAATATTAATGAGGGGGGGGGCTCATGTGGAGTGACGTCACGCGGGGGGTGGGCCTCATGTGGAGTGACGTCACGCGCGGGACAGACAGACATTTTTGGCTGATTATAGTAGGTAATAATAAAAAAGAAAGATTTCTAAAAGGTCATCAGTGACACAGGTTATTATAACAAACAAAATATGTATTAAATAAAGACCTTGATAAACTTCTGAACATATAGATTAGGTGGTTAAATTTCATGTTTGTTTTATCCCTGGCAGAAAATGCTTAGAAAATTTAAAAAAGCCTGAAGTTAGCATAAATTATTCAACCAAGGTGAGGTTTTTTCCATAAATATGAAATGTTGTTTTGTTCTTGTTGCAGAAAACTTCCCACCAAACATCAATTCCGTTGGACAGATTAATTGCAAACTGAATGAAACAGTGTTCTTCCAGCTGATTGCAGTGGATTTAGAAAAGGACCCCATAGACTTTAACATCATAACTAACTCCTCAGACCTCAGTATTACAAGTAAGTATCCATTACATGGCAATAGTCATGCACTGAAAAATAATTGTAAATGTACATTATAAATGGAACATGATTACCATACAGATGTTGTATTCTGTCCAGCATTGAGTAAAGTAAAATTACTTCGGTTTAATTACTTGAGCAAAATGACAACAGGAAAATAGATGGGGAAAAAGGTCCCACCTCTATTCCCACGCTTGTGGCCCTGGACGGTAGTATGATGGACGGGAATTGGTGACGTCATCGGCATCAGCATTCACATTATGCTTGGTGGGGCTTGTTTGGGGGGTTTCCCACCTTCAAGAGGCAAGGTGTGGAGGATGGCCAACAATTTTTAAAGGGGGCCCGAGTAATCGACCGCAAAAAGTAGTGGTAAATTGAAATTAATGGTCGATTAATTTGCTTAATTGACTAATCGCCACAGATTGTAATCCAGGAATGCCACTAAAATACCCATATGGAAAAGTGGAGTTTCAGTTTTCTGGGACCACATCGTTTTCGTAAATTGTTCTTTTGGTGTCAAGGTCAACAGCTGAAAATGTGATTTTAATCATATTTACAGGTTGTTCAAGATTCCCTATCTTTCTTTGCCTATCTTCTGATACTGTGACTATGTATCAACTGTAATGCATTTTTCAACTCTGTTGAGCAATCAATAAATATTGAGTGGTTGTCTTTAAACTCGGAGTGCTTCATTGTAACAGGAACATGAATGAAACCACGATGCATGACCTTTAAAATAACAACCTTCAATATCGAGTGCCACCCAAATGTCTTTGTAGGAATGCACTCGTAAGGTAATTGACAAAATCCAGTTTAAAATAACAAATAGCTATAAATGTTTTACGCAAAATTACGATCAGCGATTGCTGCTGCTGCCTATGGTTGTTGCAGGCGATGGGAATTTTACATGGAGTCCCAGAAGCTCAGAGCCGGTGTTTGGCGTGGTGAGCGCCAGCGACGGCAAGGCCTCCTCTGTGCTGCTGCTCAACCTCACTCTGTGCAACTGCAGCGTCCACTCCACGTGCCTCTACAACCAGACCACCCTGAGCGTCAACGGCAGAGATGGATCCACTTACCAGGTCAGCTGCAAAATCTGTAAAAAAAATTGTACAAGTCAAAAAACTTCTGGGGTTATTGTTTCTTAAACGCCATGTGAATACATTGTAATCATTCAATACAGTTGAACTCCAATTATTTGTGCAACGAATATCTGTGAATTTTGATTTAAAGCTTTCGTGACTGCAGGGATTCATATTCTTGGTTCTTTCGGTAAAGTCACGTATAAGGGACATAAAAAAATAATAAAAATATTAAACAATAAAATTATCACGACGTTTCGACTGCAACACAAGAAATCATCATCAGGTGTGAAATCCACAGCAAGAAAATTTGAAAAATTTTTAAAACAAATTTTTGCTGTGGATTTCACACCTGATGATGATTGCTTGTGTTGCAGTCGAAACGTCGTGAGAATTTTATTGTTTTATATATTTTTTATTTTTTTATTTCCCTTCTACGTGACTTTACCGAAAGAACCAAGAACATGAATATCTGTGAATTTTTTATCTGGGGCCCTCAAATTTGGTTCTTTCTTCTAAGTATTAGAATTACTGTCCTATGGTGTATTTCACTGCTAAAAATGTCCATTGAGCCTATGAATGATTTAACTAGCAACAACTGACAACATGGCACTTGATATGAATGCGTTATTTTTTTCTCCAGCAATTGTAAACGACATCATAAATACAATTGTAATGTATAACTCAGAGACGCCGTCTTGCTTAAGTAAAAAAATATTGATTATATATTACAGTCCACCCGACTCGACATGTCGTCAGGTGGACACAGGTTGACTATATACAACTGGGTGAATCTACGTAGCTGCTACACAACGTTCACTACGTAGCTGACTGACCATATAGGAGCCGTCGATGTAGTAGCCACGGCGAAGATATATAACTTCTTTCCTAGCCTTCCAAGACGATGAGGGAAATCCACCGTGATGACTGCGACGACGGTCTGGACCCCGACTCCCCACAGCAGCCCCGAGCCCCGCTCCACGCTGCCTTTTATTTCCCCTCGGCTCTGCCACGCCCCTTTTCCCGAACTCTTTCCTTTGCCTCACTATAACACCCCGGAGGTTCCATCTCGACCCCTGCGTTGACTCCTCACCCAGTTACCTCACTTGACCCTGCCTGTCCTCATCGCTGCAATCATTATTTAGGGCCACTAGGCCCTGTACTGTCTTTACACAATGATGCATTTCAAGTAGAAAAAGAAACACATTTAAAAAAAAATTACGCACGTTATTTTAAACAGTATTTGCTCAATTTGTAAGTCTTGAAATAGCCTTGTATAAAATATGTTGACAATTTTTGTGATTACCAAGAGATGAAGGTGAAACCCTGGAACTAGAGGAGGCTCTTGAGAGCCCTGCTAGAGAATAATCGGCCTACTTTCATCCTGGCTAGACACCTTGGAATTGGTGGAAGTACCCACACTTTTCCCCAACACGCACAACCAACTGTGGTGGTGTACCCACGTATACTGCTGGGGCGGGACAGAGGGGGGATTTAAGAAAATGCATAATTATTTCAAATTCTGTCCCAAGAGAACAAACCAGGCGACTTCTGGATCCAAAGTCCAATGTGCTAACGGTTGTACCGAGGCAGCATCCCCATTACAACGCTACACAACTAACTTAAATTTAATGTTGCTCAGTAAGCTTTGTGTTTTTGCCGCCTATCATGCCCGTGCTTGAAGGTTGCTGGCTGTCTATGTGAACCTGGGTACACGGGGACATACTGCGCAGAAGATTTTAACGCGTGTGCAGACGACCCCTGTCACCCTGGCGTGAATTGCACTGATTTACCCCCTCCATCCATGAATTTTACATGCGGGCCATGTCCAGCACATCTAAAAGGCGATGGAACAAAGTGTTATGGTATGTGAATTATTTTCTCTGTGTAGATTATATCATCCTCTCCTAGTTGAGGGCAGTCACATTTTGATGCTATCAGCTACATCCTTGTACATCAGTCTGTATCGCACCTCCAATTAGCGTGGTTGGCTACGTACAGTGTGAAAGAAGTTCAAAATACATCCATGCTTGCGTATCATTCACATGTATCCATGTGTTTGGTGACTGTGGTTAATTAATTTAATGCCAAAATGTATGTGTTTTAAAATAGTGAACATGTGTTTATACTGTGGTAGTGGACAATTCGCGAAATGTTTATATACATGTTCTAATCCCCTTTGTACAATATTGTAGCGAATTCATGTTGCTTGACATTCTCTTCTATCAAATCATCTGTTTTGGTTTTTGTTCGACAGATGAGAATGAGTGCTTGGCACAGCCACTGGTGTGTGATCAGACATGTGAAAACACGCTTAGTGGATACCAGTGCAGCTGCACAAAAGGATACAGCATCAGCACCACAAACAGCTCCCAATGTGAAGGTGCTGTATGGGATATATTGATGAGAAATTCCATTGGCAAGAAAATGTTGTATATGGAAAAAGTTGGATGACTTCTTATTTGCTATGAAGTAAACGTCTCTGGATAAATATATATCAACATTGTTAGTTTTACGAATCAAGGTCAAGGGCTATAGCTGTGTTTGATCTGGTATGCTCACAGATGTGTGTCTGTGTGTTTTATGACGTGTGATCTTCTTAGTTTAACATACAACAGAACAAAGGTTTTATGAAAAAGTTAAATAACTGTAAGATACTTTATTGCGTGCTCTCTATACTGGACGTCAAGCAAGAGCAGCTTTTGGCGTGTGTATTATTAACCATTGGATGTACTCTGTTTCTTGTTCATGTCATTTGATTACAAAACGTGTATATGAGAAAAAAAACCCAATATTTGCGTAAGGCATTTGAAAACAAGATATAGACCACATTCACATGTTGTTCCCACTCACACAAACAAAGACATACAAACATAGAGACCTATGTATGTTCTAAGTGACCAACTTTCAAAATTGCACAGCACACAAGGAAATGGCAGAGCCATTTACACACCAGCCTGAACGCCTTTCTTTCCACAATGCTGTGTTGTTGACAGTGACTCGTACGATACACTGACAAACACACCATGAGTTTCAAACAACACACACACATTTGTAAAAAGCTCACAGCCTCCGTGAAAAAAGAAAATACCATCGGCATTTCTTGAAATTCGTTGCGGTCCTCTTACTTTAGGTCACCAACAAAATAAATATGAACAAATGTGACAGGTGACAGTGATAGACAACTGTGGACAAATTTAATCACTGCTGCCTGTAAGTTCGTCAATTTTGCTTAAATGTATTTTGATGGTGACCTAAGAGAAGAGGACCACAATGCACTTTTTCAGAAAATTATGATTGTTTTTATATATGCACAGAGCCTGTGTGCTTTGGACACAATTGTCTGTACGTGGTTGGAAACTTTATGGTTTTCTGTCCTGTACTCTTATTATGTTATGATGGCGTTTTGTTTTTCTCATCATTTACATTTATTATGAAACACACCATTGCTATCTGCACACAGTTGTGCACACGCAAACACTCCCATGCTTATATATAAAAGTACCACAAGGCAATTATTGTCCTCTTAAGCCAATAAGAGTGTTACGTGCTGTCAGTAAGGTTGGAATTCCACTAGAAAAGGCATGTGAGCCCCACTTGTCTCCTCCCCTGCTAATGATAATGGATATTTTAGGTTCTGGTGAGCCCAACTTTAAGTACAGATCCCAGAAATTTACACATGCATATGAGATGCATGCATCTACACAGAGATATCAATAAATGTAATACTGACGAAGGAAGTGCATCACAAACCAAGACTTAAGTGATTTGAAGAATCTTGACTTAAAGCTTTCGTGACTGCAGGAATTCATATTCTTTGGGTCTCTCGGTAAAGTCACGTGACTATACCGAAAGACCCAAATAATATGATTTCAAGAAATTTTAATGTGCCCCAATATGATCACCCAGTGCCATGGCTAAAAAGTGGTGTCTCCTTGTGTGCAGACATCAATGAGTGTGCACTGAATTCTTCTCTTTGTGCAACAAATGGGCACTGCGTCAACACACCTGGGAGCTATATGTGCAGATGCAATAATGGATTCCAAGGAGATGGCGATAAGTATTGTTATGGTACGAAATGCTTACATTTGTTTGGAGGATTTTATGTTTACTTGGATTTTATTTGTACACCTATTTTAAAAAGACCATTGTACAAATACACTGTGTCTTATTTTAATATGACACCATTAAGCCAACATTGCTTGATACTGCCATGACAAAAATGAGTCGTTGAAAAATGTACATACTAAATGGAATATATTCAGCCAGAGCTGTTTAGGGCTGAGCTTCGTAAAATGTCCCCATTCCCGTATCCCACTACTGCTGTTGAAGGCGGCAGGGGGTTAGGAGTTGGGGGGGGGGCTAAAAAATACTCCCTGGGAAATTGAGAAAATGTATCCCTGGATGTACTATTCATATATTTGTTATATTATAAAGTAATCTTTTTACACAATGGGGGTTTATATTTCAACATTACAAAATGAAGTTGTTTCAAATTGTTATAAGCCTTCTGTATGTTCCCTACAGATATCTTTGAGTGTCGTATCAATAACGATCCCTGCCGCTTATGGAATAATTCCATTTGTAACAACACTGAGGGGTCCTTCAACTGCATATGCAAAAGTGGATACGCAGGAGACAATTGCACAGGTAACAAAAAAAATAACTTATTATGTATATCTCACTTGTCTATGGATGTCTGAATTTGTACCCCTTTGTGAGAATTCAACAATGGTTCTCCTTGAGAGAATCTCCTCACATCAGGGGAAAGCGAAATGTCCTTTTCTGGCTCAGGGCCTACAATAGTGATGAGCACTGCACCACTTCTGATTGAGCTTGGAGACACTGACTCGGTTTGAATAAACGTCCACAGATAATGATATTTTGACTATATCTGACAGATTATTTTGATCCCGGACATGCACATACGGCTGAGGTCCAGGTTAATTATATATATTTTAATCCATTGGAATATGGTATGAATCTGGAATTTGGGTTGCAACCCAGCCACTTTCAACAAACTCGTAGAAGGTGGCCGAGTCAGACCACTGAGCCAGTACTGCTGAACAATATGGGTTCCAATTGGTACAGCCTCCTGTAATTAACTGGGGTTTCAATTGTAGAAACGTTATTGTCTTAGCTCAGTGTCACCAATGATAGAAAAAACCCATCACATTTGATAATAAAACAAATATATACACATTTTTGATTTGAAGCTTTCGTGACTGCAGGAATCCATACTCTTTGGTTCTTTCGGGTAAAGTCACGTAGGTATAAAATAAAAGAAATCACGACGTTTCGGGCGCAACACAAGCATCCATCATCATGCTTTCCTACCTCGGGTGTAACACAAGTGTCCGCATTACGCTTTCCCACCTGATGACGGACGCTTGTGTTGTGCGCCCGAAACGTCGTGATTTATTTTACTTTATACCTTCGTGACTTTACCGAAAGAACCAAAGGGTATATACACATTTGTATAAATTACAGCTGTAAAACAAGCATTGTTCTGTAGCAGGTGATGTGAGTAAATGCATCTACCATTGGGAGAATATCAGAAGTAGTTCTATAAATCTCATTCCATGCTCCGTTCTCCAATACACGGGGTATGCACCGCTCCAATTAAATTCTTCGTATAATGACATGACACTGATATCACTGTTGGAATAATTCAACAAAATTAACTTTTGTTTTACAGACATAAATGAATGCAACACCAACAATAACACGTGTCACAGTGATGCCGAATGTATCAACACGGATGGCTCGTACGACTGTAGATGCAAAACAGGGTTCGCTGGAAGTGGCAAAAACTGCTACGACATTGACGAGTGTGGTAATAATAGCCTTAACAACTGTGACAGTGCAAGTACAAATTGTACGAACACTCCAGGTTCTTTCTATTGTACTTGCGCCAGAGGATATACAGGAAATGGCACTCATTGCAATGGTAAGTAATGTCACTATGATCCAAAACAGAAAACATTTAAAGTTAAAATACTTATAACTATACTTTAGGACTCGTATAAGCTTTACTACTTACATTTTAACAAGTAATATTAGTGGCAGGAAGGAAGGAATGTGTCTTTGCCAACTCTCCTTCCTCTTACAAAAAAATATGTGTTGCATATCTCTCCATTATAGGAATACAGTTCAGTTATTTTAACATGTTTCATTGTGTATTAAAATACGTGTGATGTGTTGGTGGTATTTTATTTGTTGACTTCACCACTCTGGTGTTGTACTGTTGCAGTGAACTTACAGCATGCGCGTAATGTGAATGGATGATTTTTATTTCTGTGCAGACATTGATGAATGTTTGAGTAACCCATGTCAGGAACTGGAAAAGTGCATCAACAAGAATGGTACTTTTAGCTGTGAATGCCAAGCAGGATACAGAATGAATATTGGAACTTGCACAGGTATTGTGATGATAAATATAGCACACTAACCTAGTCACAATAATAAACCTCATTATATTTGACGATGCCTACTGTTTGTATGAAATAATACATGTTTACATTTTTTGGGTGTTAAATGTGAATGAACCACATTTGTCATATCTCAGACATTGACGAATGCACGGAGAAGCATCCCTGTCCAGTAAAAAAGGATTGTGCCAACACGCTGGGCTCATACACATGCAGCTGTAAAACAGGGTACGAGACTGACGTGGACAGAGATTGTTCAGGTAATTCAATGGCACCAGTATCACATGTAACCTACATCTGCACTTGCTGAGAAAATAGTCGCTCAAATCAAATAAAAAATGTTGGCATTGTAAACATCTTATAAGTTTCATAATTGATGTATTGGGTCATACCACGCAAATAAATGTTTCGTATAAGAGTTCATGCTCATTTATTTCTCAAGACCACCACTGCACATTCCACTTAACATTCTCATCAAGTCTTAAATCATACCCTAAACAATGCCTTCCAATTCAACATCACAACTAAGGGAACTCATCGCAGAGATCCTTATGTCAGAAAACAGCATCAGTCCATGCGATATGGTATAATATAGAAAAGGCGTGTGCTAAGCTATGCTTTTAGCAGAGGTTTAAACTTTGCAGCAATGCTACCCTTTATTGTTTAGGGTATAAAAAGTCAGTATATTCCACTGCATCGTGCTCCACTTATTTGTCCTTAATTTAAATGTAAATAAATGCCACTTTAGTTGCTCTTTGAAATACATTTTACTCCACAAGGTTTAATTTCAATAAAAGCACACCAAAGATACGTTTTCCCAATTAAAGTGTTTTACATGCCAATGCTATTCATGGTTCACATCTGTTTTATTGTATATGTTTGTCATGTGAAGACATCAACGAGTGTGACCGACCAGATCAAAACAACTGTTCGAAGAAGGTTGGACTCTGCCAAAACTATGATGGCGGTTTTCAGTGCCAGTGCCAGACTGGTTACACAGGAAATGGGGTCATATGCATTGGTATGTTCTTAACAGCCACAGCTACACTTCTAAGCTAGTAAAACATCTTTTCACTAAAATATGCACTACTAGTACGCCTTGAACGTCATGGAATGGCGACCTTTTTCATTTAAATACTTTCTGAAAATTAGAAAAATTACAAAATCACAACAGAAAAACACGTGCAAATGTACTTTTAAAAGGACAATGTACTTTAACCACTTTCCCACCAACATTTAGTTTTAGTGTGCATATTTTAATCAGCTGATTCCCCATGCATAGAATAATGCACTTCAGCATACAACTTAATTCCATACTTCTTAACAATAATAATTTTATCTTTTCAGGAAACAATAATACCTGTGAGACTGATATATGTGGTGTCAATAGGACCTGCCACGTAACTGCAGAACATTCCATAATCTGTGTCTGCTATGAGGGGTATGTATCTTGTATCTTTGCATGACGTATTCTCCCAGCACATATAAGTAGTTTGCATAATGTAATTTTAATAACGAAAAAGCTAAATGTTAGAATTTGTGCAGAGTAGTTATTGCATAATCAGGGGTGATGTAGATACATTTATTGGCAGGTTTTTGTTTTCTGGATATTACCAAAAGTTCACACAAAATGGTTACGTTTTGTGAACATCATTTGGTGATTCTGCTGCATTGGCACTGGTGCATAAGCACAATTAACATTCATTAATAACAATGCCTTTTCAGAAAACATTTAATTCATGATGTTTTGGGCACTGGCCCTTCTTTCATTGGTTTATGTGCGATGAAAAAGGGCCAAAGCCCAAATTGTTGCCAATTATATACAGGCGGTCCCCGACTTACGGAAGGGTTAGGTTCCCAAGAACGATCCATAACCCGAATTTTTCGTATGTCAGAAAAACTGAACAATTTCCCAACAAACTCAAGATAAAATCCCATAGCCGGAAATAGTTGTGCCTCCCCTACCCGATTACTAGTTTCGTTTTCTCTCAGTACCGTATCGCGATGTCCGTTTTCTATCACTACCTGTATCGCGTATTGCTGTACATACGCTCTGCACTTCCTATGATTCTTTCATTTCATCAAATATCTACCCTAACACTACCCATTATTAAACTAACGGAACATATGCTGTATCAAATTGTTGATTTTAATATGAATCGTTAACAGAAAGCAGTCACTTCCGAATGGTTACCGTGCATTCGGCTAGGCCTAGACTTCACAAACACACATGTACACCAAGACAAAGGTGACGTAGGATCATTTACACAAACGCGCACACATGTATAAAGGCCGGCACAAACACACGAGGGGGTGGGTGGCCAGAACCATGCCCGGCCGCCTTTGTCTCCCGAGTGGCGATGTTTACACACCGCACCAGTTACTAATTTGAGGCTGAGTCGACCTAGCGGAGGCCCAGGATCGGCAGGTTCGTAGCGCAGCGCACTAACCACTACACTACAACTCCCCACCACACATACATACACATACAAACACACACAGACTTATTAAACCATTTGCTTTCAAATGGTTTAATAATATGGTTAAATAATAAAGCGTATTCCACATGAGAACTACAGCATTTACATCTTGCATGTCATTGGTACCTTCGTATTAATTTCCAGTTCCACTAATCATATGTTTTAGATAGTATTGCCGCAATTATATTTGCTTAAAGCATAAACATAACTTGCAATATGTAACGCTTTGTTCAATGTGGGAAAAAAACTTTCAATTCTGATTTTCAGATTCATCCCGGATGGTACAAGCGAAACAGCGTGTGTCAACATCAATGAGTGCAATTCATCAGTGGGGGCTGACAAAAGAACACCGTGTGATCCATTGCATGGGTTATGCATGGACACAGTGGGCAGCTATACGTGTGCGTGTAAGCATGGATATGAACTGGAACCGGATGGGCGCACTTGCAAGGATATAAACGAGTGCCAGAGTGGCACACCTGCATGCTTGGGAAACTCTATCTGTGTGAACACAGAGGGCTCCCACAACTGCACTTGCAGCATCGGTTATACATGTGAGTGCATGTGAATTGTGTTTATTGCTGATGAAATACAACCCTTTTTATTGATCTACGTAAAATCAGCTTAATTGCAATTTTGTTTTACATACACGTCACTTTTCTTGCACAAATATTCCACGCCAAAGCGCCGTCACATCAATGCTCAACATAAAATGAAAACAATAAAAAAAATAGAAAAAAATACACATTTACAAACTATTTATAGTTGTTTAAAGTATTTTTAAAAATAAAAGCAAGTTGTGACAATTGCACACTGAATAGAGATTTTTCTGAGCACATACAAGTATGCGACTATGTAATTCAAATGGTCTTTTTCACTTTCTTGAAATTAGTATTCTTGTAAATTAGATGTAATTACAATACTGTTTGGTAATATATAGTCCAAGCAGCCTATGGTATCTGTTATGCTTTGGTGGCTATCCAGGCAAGTACTATCCAGGCTCAACCTCGATTATCTTCAGAGATGCTATGGGAATGGCCGCACAGCGATTTGGTTATCCGCTTCATTGTCGGCAGCAGAGGCAATGTATTGTGGTACTGCCTTCGCCAGCAAGTGTTGACCAACAAGCATTGCCCAGCAAGAGTTGTACATGATACACGTAATAATATGCATACATTTCGATTTAAAGCTTTCGTGACTGCAGGGATTCATCTTCTTGGTTCTGTCGCCTCGACAGACCTGGTTTTCACCTGAGGACGGCTGCTTGCGTTGTGGCCGAAACGTCGTGAGAATTATTTTATTATTTTTATTTTTATTATTTTATTACTTCCCTTCTACGTGACTTTACTGAAAGAACCAAGAAGATGAATATGCATACATGTCTGTGAATGAACACAAAACTACGTTATTTGGCATACTATGTATTTGTATATCATTTCTGACGGTAGACATGGAAGAAAACACTTTGTAATGCTGTGAACACTTCAGTACCAAGGTGGGGCGGGTGGGTCAGGAGAGGTGGCTACCCTGAACACCCCTTCTGAGGGATGCATCACCTGAATGTGGAGCCAAATTGTTTCAAATAAAACAATCAGTGGTGGCTAGAGGCTCAAATTTCCTGGTGGTGCAGTGGCCAGTGCCGGTGCAGTGGGGGCTGGGTGTGGCAAGAATGGCACAGCATGTCGAGCTTATGGCTCTTGGTTTGGAAATGTATGTTTCTTTTGTCTCGCAGACAATGGATCATTTTGCCTTGACATTGACGAATGTCAACCTGGGGACAAACAAGCCTGCGGCGAGGCGGCCGTGTGCCATAACACCGTGGGCTCATATTCTTGCTCGTGCATCGCGGGATACAAGCTCGTCAATAAAGCATGCGTGGACGTGGATGAATGTGTGTCTGGGAATTCCCCATGCCCTCTGTTTGAAATCTGCGAGAACCTGCCGGGTTCATTCAAGTGTGTCTGCCAGGATGGATACAACTGTAAGATATAAGGCTGTACTGTGTGCACAATTGACTTTGCATTTCCCATAAATTAACCCATTAAATGTATCAATGACAATGTGGAGCAGGTATACTTGTAGTAAGTGACGTTTGGCATGTCTGTCACTTCTCAGACATTGGGCAGCAGTGTGTGGCAGAGAATTGCAAGGAAGCTGCCTGCACTCCTGGATACTGCAAGAACGAAGGAGTGTGTTCCAACAATGTCAACTGTACCGCCACCTGTCAGTGCCCGATTGCTTACAGAGGTGACAAGTGCCAGTATGGTGCCAGCTACGTCGGTGCCACTTTTAAAGAAGGTAATCATGGGCTGTTTATTTACAAATACTTAAGCTAAAATGTTAGGACAGAATGCTCAGAATTACATTGAGGGACCAAAAGAGGTACAAGACAATTTTGACTGTCAAGAGAAATGAGCGGGCTTGGATAGGATGCATTATTAGAAGGGATGATGGCGGTGGTCGAGACTAATAATGGACTGGCAGCCAAGAGAAGGGACGCGTGTGAGAGTTTGTCCACTCTGGAAGTGGAACGTTTAAATCACCTCGTGCACAGATCCTAGGCAGACTTTTTACATCAAGTGACTATTGATGACGATGACAACACGGATATACATTTATTCAGCAGTGGATTGAGTATATGTGATGAATATTTTCTCAGTTACAGCACAGTTGTTAACATAGTTTCCGCCTCTTGCCAATGTTTTCTCTATAACTGAAAAGTTATGCCTTGTGTCTCATTTGAAAAGGCACGAACAATATTTAAGAATTTAAAATAGATACTGATCAAGGTTCTGAAAGAAGTGCATTAATTCGAGCAATCATTTGTCCAGCTGCAGTATCCAACAAAGTGTCACTCTGGGTATAGTGCTTTACTCGCAATTGAAGGATTATAGTTTTATCACTCCTCAATTACTTAATTAGTACCACTTTCTGATAAAATATGAGAATAGGTTTTCCCCTTTTTCTGGCAACAAAACAGGTGGTAAGATGTTAAAAACCAAACTGAAACCATTTTGCAAGGAATCATGTCTGCATTAACCACAGATAATTGTGGTGAAAATACAAACAAAAAACATGCTCTTACACAGAAGAGAAGACCTGGAAAGATGTGGGGCTAAACCACACTTACCCCGCCACACGTGAATCGAACCCATGACCTCTGGATTTCCAAGTCAGCATTCCTGTATTAAATATGTGATTGCGTTAATTGTATTGTTGAATCATTAACGGTGCTAATATGTGCGTACGTATCTTTTATTGAAGGCACACCGAAGGCGGAATTCACTATGTGGTTTAAGAATCCTGACATAATAAATGATACAGATTCATTCCGTGATCATGTGAGTAACTTTTTAAAAACATTTTGAGATTTTTTTTCTTTGAATGAATATTTGGCATTTTGTTGTAAAATGTTATAGTATTCATAACCATCAAAAGAATAAATAATGTACTCAATGGTTTGCACCTCTTTTTAGCACGGCTACATACAGTGCGAAAGAAGTTCAACATACATACAGAAATGTCCACGGAACGGTTGATCAGTTACTGGCACGTTTATATCCATATTACAGCTGTAAA